ATGTATTCAAGATGATAAATCTTGTAGTGGATGATGCTAATTTTTATAAGGATTTGCGCGTCCGGAAAGGACAGTTCTAAGAGTATAGAGATTATTCCAGTCATGTAGACCAGTAGTTTATTTGTTTACAGTTCGAGTTATTAATTAGGACTTATGACCGGAACATTTCTATGAGTCAGTCGTTTCCAAGTTCAGAAGTTTATTTGTTAGTTTATGTCACGTTTGTATTGTAATATTTGTCCGGATCGTTTGTTCGGATATCCAGAGTAGTTCTCACAGTTAAGTTCACTTAGGTTATTCTTGTCCGGAATGGCTTGTCCGGATTTGGTAGTATTTGTTCGGATTAGCTTGAGCTGAAAATAAATTCATTTTGAGAGTATACACATATTCTGAATAGTTTACGCATATTTTCTTCATAAGTTAAGTGGCATTAGAGTTTAATATTAGGCACATCTAATAGTTTAGTACAGAGATAGTTTATTTGGATTTCCCAAATAGTTAGGGACTGTCCGGATCGTCGCTTGTTGAATTATTAAATTTACAATTAATTTTACGCAATTAATTAGCAAAGTTGTTTTACTTTGAGTTCGAGAACAAGGAGTTGTTTGCAGATACTAGTTATAACAATAAATTAACTGTGTAATGTAGTCGCAAGACAAATTCACCTCCCCCCTTTTTTTAGGGTCACCTATTGTCTGAATGGTCAGCATCTCATTTGTTGTTATTGTTCTTGATTGTTGCCATCCTAAATAAAAACTTGTTATGCCTGACAAAGGAGTTTTTATTTTGTGACAAGGGTCCGCTCGACTTGTTACATTATTATTAATAAATGGATATCATCCACTTAATGTATTTGTCTTGACAGAAAAAGGCATGGAGCAGGAGTTGCAATGTACATATCCAGTGAACTTGAATTTTAAAAGCGTAAAGATTTGCATACTAATAATCTAGAAATTCTATGGTGAGAGGTACATGTTATTAAGAAAAAAATCATGTTGGTGGGATGTACAGGCCGCCCAATTCATTAGCAGACTATCGAAATGTGTACGTGAGCCTACCAGTTTCATTCAAAGTTTAGGTACATGCATAGACCTAATCATTACCAATAACACTGCAATAATTAATGAGAGTTTTGTCTATTTTCCATGTTGCAGTAGTCATTCTATAACTGAGGTGGAATGTGAATGAAGATATTTCTTCTCCAGAAGGACCTTCGTCTCCTATACTTTCATCTGTGCGACATAAAAATTAGACAATGTTATTGTTATAATCAATTCTCCTTGCAAGTCGCGCCGAACACTCTTACACATGGATTGTAAACTGCAACTCGTATCTTTCAATGAAATGTTCATGGAAAACCTTTTACATGAGAATAATAAAAAAAACTTGCTATGACATTCAACACGACATTAAGATGTACTGACGACGTTTTATCAATTAACAATAGTTCGACCATCCATGTGTCGACTCGGTATATCCCACTGATATTGAAATTAAAGGCACCATAGACTCTGTAACATATGTTTCATTTTTTGAATGTTTTCCTGACCATAGACAATAAGGGCCTACTAACAACTAAGTTGTATGACAATCTTTTGCAAATACTTCAGCCTTTATTTTTAAACTAAACCTAACTATGGAGAGTTCGTCCTACCTGATTAATACAGAAGGCTCACGACGGTTGTGACCAGTCCATTGGAGATGCTTACTCTTCTTAGGCACCTGACCCTTAATCTGGAATGTTTTATGACTTGTTCACAAATTTTGTATTGTTTGTAGAATTTTATGAGATCGGTCACTGTTTGTTATCTTCACCTTGTCATCAAAGGTTTTATTTTCACTTTGAGGTCAACTCTTGTATACTTTTAATCGTATTATTGAAGAGAACCAAAATCTGTTGATGTTTATGGAATGATATGAAAACATGAATATGTCTATTCCATCAGCTCTATTTACAAGAAAATATATAGTAGGCCCAAATTTAGGACTTACAACCTGAATCATTTCAGCATATTTTTACTAGTAATACGAAAAAACGTTTTTTTTTTTTTTTCTTTTTTTCTTTTTTTTTCTTTTTCTATAATTTTACATGAAAATTGGGAATGTATATTAGAGTGAAATTAATTTGGTTAAATATGTTGTGGTTTTTTATAAATCGTTTTTGAAAATTTACAAAATGCTAAAAGAACAATGAAATAGAAGCCAAAGAGTATGAAATGTTTTTGTTGTCAGCAAGATGTCCTTGATATTCATTTTCCAGACCTAGAGACTATAAACTGATAACAGACTTATGAAGTTAGGTAGGACATATGAAAGTACATAATTAATTTGATACAATGTTATGTATTAGGCGCATGACAAAATGCACCACACCTGAAAAGTTAACCAAATGTTGTCAAAAGTTTAGGATAAAAACTTCGCGATAAAAAATGCACACAGTTCATCTTGTTGAAGTGGATGTCTAAATTAAAAAAAAAAATACCGTATGTAAATATATGTCTGAAGACAAAATGTTCATTATTAACAGTTAAAAATACACATAAGCTTAAAAAACTATAATTATATTCTATTGTGTACTACAGTTTGATCTTCCTGAACCTGCTTTGAAAGGTTAAGGGAAAAAAGAAATTTAAGAACATATACCATGTGTAATTATAAAAGCATTTGGTGACCAATTTCATTATGATATGGAATATAAATTATTTTCGAACGACAGAAGAATATTTCTTCAGAATAAGTAATGTAAAAAGCCTTAACATTTTATGTTTAGAGAACTAATGAACACAAAAGCGATCTAGAAACACAAATACTTTTGTCAAAATTTATGACGAAAATTTTCTTTATTTTCTTTACTTCCTAAACCCTCAATTCCTGATTGTATGTTTATTTTTTTCTTCACTATTTTCTATTTTGTTTTGACTCTAGCCAGATAGTTGTATTAATTTTATATTTTATATATATATACCTCTTGTACCAGTGACCTGGTTTTCAGTAAATAAAGACTTGAAGTCATATCCACCTGGTACTTTATGTTTTATGTACGGTTGTGCTGTTTAACCTACATATTATGTGAGCAATATAACTATTCATTTAATTACTCAATTACATATGTGTACTATTTTATCAAATTATCGTTTATCTTAATGAAATATGTTTTTTAGAGCAGAACTAAAAAAATGAATTTCACAAATCCATTGATGATTTAAATGTCATTTACGTGTACACAAAAAGAGGGAAAAGGTCCCCTTTAGTTGCGTGGTTGATGAAATACAATCTTTCAAAACCTCCCCTTCTTTTGACTTCTTTATACATAGTTTAAATCTAGCGTGTTACTTCGTAACACATATCAAAGAGCGATGCAGAAATCAGATCTCCGCTAAAGATGCAGTATGCCCTAATACCGTTTTGTTTTCTTTGCTCTCTTATCTGTTGCAAAGACACCATAGCATGGGAAAACTTTTAACGTAATAAAAAATAAATAAATGAAATCAATTCTGGGTGAAGTTGCAGATATTTTGGATCAAATTAATAAGCCTTACTTCTTAAACTGTGTGATATTTTGTATGCTGATACATAACTCGATGATGATTTGCCCAACTGGTTTATTAACTTCTAACAAAAGAACGCTAAACAAAAGATAGATGAGGACAAAGTGCTTAGGAAATTGAATGTCCATGGTATGTTAACGACTATTGCTGCATGGTTAATATGAAATAGTGTACTTTTAAGGACAAATAGTCTACTGTCCAACTGTATACATGTATATTAAGAATATTTTTAAAAAAATATAATTCAGAATCATTCCTTTTCTACATTAATTTTATAAATTAAAGTGAAAAATACTTTTAAAAAGTGGAAATAATGAAAACTATACATACCTACCTCCCTATCTATCTACCTACCTACCTGCCTATCTATCTACCTACCTACCTGACCCAGATAAAATTAAAGGACAGAAAATCTTAAGGCGGTTTATCTTACTACGAATAGTTCAGACACAAGCAACTGACGGGGCGTGACAATTTTGAAAATATTTATCCAGCTATATTTCAATCTAGGTATCAATCTGGAATAGCTAAATTATTTCTGGGAGAAATAGTGCTCTTAGAATGTTTGCTATCTTAATACATGTATATGTGACCATCGTGACTTGAATAAAACCAATAAAAGCATTAAATATTCGTCAAAAAACAATATATCGACGACAATATGTGCCGATGCCTGACTGTACATTTTGTCGTCTATTATGCAGGATGAAAATAGGGTTCGTCTCGGCACATACTGTCGCCGGCGACAATATGTACCGAAGAACGAAAATATGTGCAGTGGGGGGGGGGGGGGGGGTTTAAGTACATATTGTCGCCGATAACGACATTGTGTACCGTCACACAGCTTCTGCAGAAAGTACATACTCTGCGTGAACGGGTTATGCAATGCTTTCCTGCAATAACTGCAAAAGTTAATTCGCGTTCTAATGAATTAAGGAAACGATTTTATTTTTTATACCTATGTATGCATAAATGATCATATAAAGTAGGTTTAAGTATTTTAAACATTGTATTATTATATGTACCTTGTAATGAGTTTTATTGATTGAAAAGCAAATTTATTTGAAATCTAAACAAGTGGCTGGAAAAACTGGTTCTAACCGGCATTTACTGATTAATAAAAGAAGTGATGAAAGAGAAAATCTTTAGTGGACGTAAATAAACCATAATAAATGGTTTTTAGATATGTGGGTGTGTGTGTACATGTAAGAGAGAGAGAGAGAGAGATTGTGCCCACTGTTTCTATGATTGTTTCAAAGAGGTTTGCTCCTGAGCTCTTACGATTTCCGGCCTTGATACTCCCATTATATCCCATGCCTTAATAGATGTATAATGTCACATTATTATTTGAATATAACGGATTTAATTGTTTGCAAAGTGTGAATGCTACACACCTAAATCACAATCCTTAATATGTAGACTTCCTTTTACAAAATTAACGGGCTTTAATGATTTTGTCGAAATAGCTGACTTTGTTTAATTGCTAGTTATTTTGAAGATCATACATTAAGATGGCTCAGGTTCAACGTGAGTACCACGTCTTACTCTTTTTTTTTTTAATTTTTGTCATTTTGTTTTATTTTGTAAAAGTATCTATAATTATCATTATTTCTACTATTATTTCCGGGCATTGTTCCACTTTCATTTCATTGAATGGTATGAAATATATAACTTAACTGTAATTTTTTTTAACTTCTTCTAGAATTAAAATTGTGATCAATATTATCATTACAGGAATACTTTCAATAAACGGTCCATCAGCTTGAAAATAATCACCGACGATTAATTTTTGCTGCTAAGAAAACATGCATAATGGTTCGCGACGAGAAATATTCGCGATCAAAAGGTCATGTTAATAGGGCATACTATTTTCATGAGAATAAAAATTGGTTTACACGAAACGCAACGTAATGATACGAATTTAAATTCAAAAAATCTTTTCTGAAACATCTTCATCGAGCATGGTGCATATTTTTATTGTAAAATTCTTGCAAAATTCTTGCAAGAATAATAACTATGGTTTATTACTGAATAACCTCTATAATGCTTAAAATGATGATGACGATGATGGTAATAATGCCGATTTCCTTTTTTATCTAAAACAGCCCCAGCATCAGGTCCACATAATGTTGTGGTAAGTATACTTAAATAGCACAACTGATCATTTATTATTTTTTATGAAATGTTATTGCGCTGTTTAAAGCAATGTGGACTTCAATTTTGAAAATCTTATTTTGATCTTAAAATGTGTTATATCTTTGAATATAATTAAAACCTTTATAATCAGTAAGACTACAACAGAGTATTAAATTGTTTCAGACAATTGAATGTACAAACGAATGTATAGTATTATATAAGAAATCAAGATTACAATATTCTACAGGACGACAATAATGTAATTTTGCTTCAATCAAAGCTTCTAATAGCTGCTCCATTGCAAATATGAACAACATAAGTTTATAAACATTCTTCTTTTCTGTCATTGCAATAGTTAATTACAAATTAGCAACAAAAATTTCCGACATCAAAGTTGTAGCTCATATTGCTTTGAAGTGTGGGGGGGGGGGGGGCAATGCCTTTTCCCCAGAGGTAAGCATTTTATTTTTACGTAAATTCAACCTTAAATATAATCAAAACATTCGATTTTCGGAATAAGTGAGATAAGAAAGACAACTCTTCTGTAAAAATCAAAACTTTTTTGAAACTGTAAATTTCTTGTTTTAATTGATCTGTTTTACAATTATTGAAATGCATCGGTTGATTGGGGGTTTTTGCTGCACGTAACACAGGGTGCCATATATATCTGGACCTTGCTCTACTATCTTTAAATTATACTGTTCATAATGTACATATTACTATGCACTCGATCTGATATTTCTAAATAAACCTTTGAAGGCAACTAGAAAGTCTCAAAACATGTTATATGTTGGAAACTGTGATAATTTTTTTTTTTATTATTTTTGATTTGCTCATATGTAATACCATTTGATTATTTCAATCGTTGGAATTAATTTGGAATACTTACCTTCAATATTATGAAGTATATTTATTAAATATTATACGTACCATGTGCGGATCTAGAGGGGGTCAAAGATATAAGAGGACATAAAGACGTCCTTCTCTCTGGACTGCCATGTCCAAACTAACTTGCACGGACTGACGGGTTTTAAGGTCCAGTGAATTGAGGTTCAGTAAAGGTTATGAACAGTAATAACATATTTAAAAAGAAGGGGTTCCCCACGGGATATTTACATGAAATTTTAAATGCATCATCAAAAGTATGATAGGATGGTTTTAATGTAACAGTCCGGACCCCCCTGGAATTTGCAAAGTCATTCAAAGTATATACTTAAGGAAATAAAAATGATTTTGGACCCCCCTAGAAAACGTGGAACCCACCACCATCACCACGAAAAAGGTACTTTTTACGTTTAGAAATGGACTTTACTTTTTTCTCTTTCTCGATTGGAATTTTTTTTTGACTGGGTTAGACCCCCCCCCCCCCTGGAAAAAATTCCTGGATCCGCGCCGGCGCACATGTACACTTATTCAATATTATGATGTATATTTATATGTGCTTTAATGCTTTAATTAGGTTACACAACCTGGCCCCGCTACTGTGGTTGTCTCCCAGCCTCATCAGAGGGACTGGATGGTCCCCGCCATACTCACTTGTTTTTGTTGTTTCTGGCCGACTGGAATCGTCGCCATACTTTTCGCTTATAAGGTAAATGCTTTCAAATGTATTATTTTTTATTTCATAGGAAAAATTCTACATACTACAAGTGTCGAAGTTTTTAACGTAAAAAATACCGGGAATAAATATTCCACCCTCTAAGAAAAAAAAAAAAAACCCCTGGATGGCAACGGGTTTTGGGAGTCAGGGATGAGCTGTCAAGGTGGAAAGAGAGGCAAGACCCGGCCCGTAGTCGTCGAACACATTGTATTTCTTTTACTTAGAAGTCGTGAAGTAAAAAAAGATTTGAATTTGATTTTTTTACTTGAAAAATAGCTCAAACACTCCGGTTGCTGAATAAGTTACAATGACAATGACAATTATTTTATTCTCATAAATGTACAAACATACATTGTAGAGAGGAGGTAGGATTAGATACAAACACAAGAAAAAGAATATATAATACATTTATAATAAATGGTACAAAATATCATGTTCAAATCAATTATTTCCATCTATAATTTGTTTAACAATCAACAAATATTTGCATAATTTTTTCAATATTGAACAGTTTTTTGTTGAAAAAAGTTGTTTAAATTTCTCTATATTTGGTCTGCATATGAGATAATTTGAAATATGTTTTAACCTAGCCTCTTTAATTTCTTTTCGTGTGCATTCAAAAACATAATGAAATTCATCACTAAGCCCCGTAGAACTGGGGGGAGGGGTAGGCCAGGGGGGTCACTTTTTCTGAGCATAGAATTTTGCTATGGTAAATTTTCCTTTAGTTGCTGGTTGCACCCCCCCCCCCCCCCCAACCTACCCAAACTTTTTGTTGCTGTGAAGTCAAGCACTGGGAATTTCCAGGATTTGGACAGTTAATTAGATTTCGTTTAGTTCTTGCCCCCCCCCCCCCCCTAAAAAAACAGCCTTGCCATCCTAGTGTTTTCCTAGTAGAGGGTGGAATATTTTTCCGGTATATTTCTTTGCAATAAATATTTTAGACTACTGTAGACATACCCCAGTCACAAACTATTCCAATAAACATTTTAAAAGGAGGATCCCACCAAATAAAAGTTATTGAATACATGTATATGCATCAAGCTCAAATTATAAATCTAAAAGAAAAAAAAGTTAAATGTAGAAAAAGGAATAATAATAATTGCATAACACATATATACATGTAAATGTATGATAAAATAATAAGATGAAGTAGAATTTGTTGCTTTTAAAAGATATGCAAACATTACTTTTATTTAACAGGCAAAACAAGCAGCATCAAGTGGCGACGTTCATGAAGCGGAAGTCCAGACTAAACGTGCACGCCTGTTTGTCTTCATTTCTCTTGCTGTCGGAATCGTTCTTCTTACAATTATAATAATCATACGAGCAACAGCCCCAAGTCAATAATAAACCATTCGGAGGACCTCTATATTCCAGATCTATGAGACTTAAGAAACTTGAACACTTATATATCCGTGAGTGTGGTGTATTAACAGAAGGATTCGCTTTACTCAGACAGTATAATTTTTCAAAAACATTACTCTAAGTCAAAACTATATTAAATGCACATAGGATTTTCCTTCGTTTTTTTTTTTTTTCACTCTTTCTTACTTACATATTCTTTGTTTTCTTAGACCAAGCTATACTTTGAAGCATCACAACGCTATACTTTGAAGCATCATTAAAGAAATTATTTCACATTTGAAATACACGACGGCCTCTATCTTTCCTAAAATTTTAACGAAAAACAATGGAAATTTATCTCTTTTACATTGATTAGAATGAGATAACGTGATTATTTTTTCCAATTGTCGCTTCACTGAGGTAGAGATATGTTTTTAATTCTAAACTCTGTTTTGGATCAATGAAATAGAATATTTTACTAAATTAAATTTGGTTTAACTTTTATTATATACCAAATTCAGTCTTATTTATATACGTTGTAGATAGCTCAGGAATTGTATTGATGCTACATAAACATGTATATCAAGATCGAATTGAATACTTCGCTATTACACTGCACATATTAAATACTTTTATTTATCGCAGAGACCTTGCAGTAGGACTGTAAAACTGACTTAAACTTAAGTCAAATTTTCAATCACCCGTAAGATGTTTATCAATTTCCAACTTAGTTCTTAATGTTGCAGAAAACAGCACTCAGGTGATGTAATATTTAGAAAAAAAAATTATTTGGTCAGTTGGTTACGGAAGCGTATTAGTGCCACCATATATATATATATATATTTTAAGTTGGTAATTCCAACTCAAAAAGTTGGCTCTTTTTTTTTTCTTAACTTTTTCATTGCCTATTTTCCTTTATTTTACATACTATCATCTTTATTAAAGCAAACTCAATACATTGAAAGAAATTTGTAAGGAATTAAATTGTGTCAATTATTTTTTTATCTTGGTCTTTCCTATGACCTAACATACAATTTTCAACTTATTTTAGCTGTTATGATTCACTTCTTTTTTCATCTTATCTAATTTTATAGATGATAACTTCATTAAACTCAGAAATTCACACCATTTCAACCATTCCTATTCAAGAGATCAGACATACATAATATTTAGCTTTTAAAATTGAGATTTGTTTGATATAAAGGATGAAACATCAAAAAAAATTTCATGCTACAAAGAACACTGAACTAAATTATCAATATTGTGTATGAAAAAAAAAAAAAACAACAAAAGTTATTCTTTCTTTCATCACAAGCTCAGAATTGAATTAAATCGTTTATTTCCATTGTAGCTTTAACACAGCAACACGATTTCAAACACAAAGTACACAAAGAAAACAAGTGAAACATTAAAAAGTTGGAAAAGCCAGTTTTAAAGTTGGAATTAGCAACTTTAAAATTGGAATTTCCAGCTTTAGAGTCGATAAACCCATGATTAATGTTGTAATTACCAATTTTGCAGTTGGAAAAGCCAATTTTAAAGCTGGAATTAGCAACTTTTAAAACAATATTACGTGGTGCTAATACGCTTCCGTAATTTGTCTTCTATAACATTTCAGTACAATATGAAAATTTTGAATTAAGATGTTTTTTTTTTTTTTTTTTGTGATCCAAGAGTCTGTACAATTAAAACTTAATATACTGAACAATACTTGAATATCAATGTGTTTCTTAATTTAGCCATCGAGAGAACACATTAAAAAACTTATATAGAAGACAACAACTTAAAATCACGCCAAATTATGCATATGTGATTTCAAATCAAGCCTATGACTGTGAAAGAATACCACATTGAATTATACGTGTCATACAAATTCAACCAATCCTAAACATGGAAACGAACAGAGACCATCATTAATGTATGACACGGTGACACCGCACCTCAAAAGCAGTACAATAGAGGGTTACAGTATACATGTGAGCATTTGTTCCTACCCACCCTTCTTAATCCCTTCCGTTTATTCCCTACTTGATGTGTTGTTTTAACTTTATTGATATCTTCCTTGCTTTCTATAAATTTGTGCAATTAAGTTTTAACCACTTTTTAATTTTGTTTTCTTCCAATTCTCAATAATTTTCCTTACAATTACGAATACAAGAATACATATATTGTCTTGCTCGGCTCATTATACATATACACATGTACATATCTATTTTATAATGGTAAACTTTTATACATTGCTTCCGGACATTTTACATTTTTTAGGAGATTTTATCTCTATTTTTTTAGGGGGGCTGGGTAGTCAAAATACATGGATTGACTGAAATTCCTCTCTTACCAAACTACTACTTGCTTGACCTAACTACTTGTCAGCATTAGCGCCTATTGCATACGAAAGAACTGATAAATCTAAATGTTTTAAAATTGTCTCCAACAAGATAACAAGCTTTCAATATCTGTATTTTCAATGTGTACTTTCCCTGCATGCTGTTAATGTATCGCAGTTCTAATGATTTTTATTGGAGCAAAACTATTTACTTAAAATGATTTGCTCTAGTAGATAGTAATACATGTATTTTGTATGCTTATTACAAACCTATAATGTTTCCTTTTCACACACTTTTTATTGTTCATTTAAAAAAGAAGAATAATTTGCTGACACTGCTATTTTCTCCGGCGACCTCCGGTCTATTTCTGCTTGACAATAGATATTATACAAAACAATAATTACAAAGAGATCATATGATTTGTAGATAAAACCTGATTTTAAATAAATAAAAATTCAGAAGAATCTATCAATTTTCAAATGGATAGTTTATTTTGAAATAAGTTGGGCAAACAGTACGTATTGATTGGATACAAAATAACAAGGGATTCAATTATTAGCAAAACTCTATCGAATAAAACATGGTTACTTAGAAACCCAATTTTTTTTTAAATTACAAACAAGAAGGATAATTCCACCGTCTTTTTATACCAAACAAAAACCTCTTAAGAGTTACTTCCTTTAGATGAAAATCCCTGTTCTGTATGATATTGATTAGAACGTTTATTCCCTGCAATATTATTTCGTCGGAAAATAATATTCCAGTTTGCAAAAAAAAGGTTAAAGTTGACAACGTTTTTTTTTTCTTTCGAACTGAAATATTACTTGAGTCTTACTAACCACATAATGAAAGGTTTAATAACGTTCTCTAAGAAACGTAACTGTAAGTAGATACAACTACACCGTAAAGAATCAAATGGTAAAAAAATGTAAACTCCCCGAAGTGTGAAATTACTTTTCCCCTCTTTTTTAGAAAAAAAAATTTTCCCCTCTATACCATATGTACAAAAGGTTAGCTTACCATCACATGCATGTATATTTAAGCACATAATATATATGCGATAGTTTGCCAAACACGTTGATGATATACTAGGCGGAACAAGATGAGTAAAATATCCACAGCGGTTCCTGGCAGAGGTGGGTGTGATCGTGTCATTAAAAAAGAAAAGACATAAGGAAGAAATATAATATTTTGCATAAAAACCATAATTACATTTTATCAATTTAGCTTAGACATGGATTTTGACGTCAAGGAGGCGCAGCGAGCTTATGTACATAGAATTTTGTGTAGCGCTATGGAGCACTCTTTTCCAGACTAAATGACCTGCAAAAACATTGGTATATTTTTTTTTCTTCTTACAAATAATTCAATCAGAGTAAAAACGAAAGCTCCGGACTAAATAACGTTGATTCACGTTGCATAAATCGGTAAATTTGTAGTACATGATGCTAAGTCAACCTGTATATGACACCGCATGTATAGTTTACACTGGGGTTACAAGAGCACAAGTTTTATTTTATTTTTTTTTAAGAACCGTTTAAGAAAAGAGACATCTGATTTTTAGAATGTTATATGTGATAACAGAGAAAGAAGAGTAAACGTTTCTCCGTCGTTTCACATGCAAAAACATCTCCTGCTGACTTGACGTTGAAATGACGAAGCGATGCTGCTACAGGTCGATAGACATATGCATGATTATAATTTCATCGGAACTTGTCTAATTCACCTATAAATTAGAAATATTGCACAAAAGCTTTATTTGTCTTATAAAATTTTGACGAATTTTCATGAATTTAATTCTGTCCTTTATGGAGTAAAAGTAAATGTTTCAATAATTTCCGAACAGCCCTCGTAATTATTTGAACATCAGTCAGCGAAGACTTACGCAGCGCTTGAAATGCTTGTCAATGTTTAGAACAAAAGTAAATGATTGGGATAGTTATAACGGAGACAATGTATTATAGTTAATCAGATTCTAACATTAATGTCAGAGGATGTGTGTATACAAATGTATGGGACAGTTATTGTAGAAGTTTATTTACCTCCAGAACAATCCCATTCAGAACATTCACATCAAATACATGTACATATAGGGTCAATATTTACCATCTAAGAGATGGAAGAGGAGCCCTAAAAAATTTACTATAGTTAACTATAGTAAAAACTTTGATACTTTGATTTACTATGTAACTTTACTCTGGAACTTTATTTTTGTAATATCAGAGATTAAAATTACTTAAATATGATAACATTGATGTAAAATTTGGAAATAATATATGAATATACAAATAACAGTTCCATTTAATATACTAATTATGCATGTATGAATTGAAGAACAAAAAATATGATACTCTGAAATCCATCGTAAAAATACTTTGATTTACTATTGTAAAAAAAAACCTGATACTATAGTAAACTATAGTTAACCAGAGTTTTTTTTTGTTAGGTAGGGATTCATTTGATACGTTTTTTAAACAAAAGAAAAAAAAAAAAAAAAAAAAAACTATTGAAGTACTGTAAAAGGCTTTGTAAATAAATAATATGCACAAGATAAAGGACTTTTAATTCATTCATTAATTAATGCACTGACAAAGATTAAATCCATTTTTTACATGTAACAAAACATCTTCAAATGTTGTATTCAGTCTACAGCAGGTCAGGTATAGACTGGTAAATTCTGTTCAATCTCTTGCTTTAAATTATCATTTTATGTCACTATTACATACATGTAGAGGATACGAAATGGGAGGGAGGCATGAACGTCCATGAAATACATGAATGAACTAACAAAACATTTTAAGTCTTTTCCTTGTCAATAAGAATTTGGGAATTATTTTACGATTCTCGT